AGGCACTAATTAGTTGGTCGGGAAAATGTACTGTGCTTTTGCTGCTGGTTTGATGTTAACTATCCCATCTACTTTGTATTGTCGATATGCTTCAGGAAGTGCATAGAAATGGTGCGATAAGCCCAATTTGGTAGAAGTAACTTGGTGAAAAAGTGCTGCAGATCGTGGAACCAGTAACCGCAGCTGTGGCTCGTCCTACCAATAGTGGCCACTGCGTTGTGAGTAAATGCAGCAGCACTTGGGTAGGAGAGGGAAGGCTTCTGCAGCAAGTCAGACCACTTGGTCATCTTGGTGGCAATGTAATTGGGAATGAGCGTTTGTACATCAATGCCATCCTGAGCGTACTCGATGTTCAGTGACTCAGAAAACCACTCAACAAAGACCTAGAAGAACCACAGCAAAAAAATGTAAGAACTCAATAACACCATTGAATTGCTTACCTTGCTTGCCGAATACAGGCCCATTAGAGGGAGGGGTTGATAGGCGGCAATGGAGCTCATGTTGATGAGCAGGCCTCGTCGCCTGTTGAGCATGGAGGGGAGGACAATCCGTGTGATCATCACAGTGGCCAGCATGTTCACTCTCACCTGTTGCCAGATGCTGCTCTCCTGCTGATCGAGAAACTTGTTCGGCGAGTCATACATAACCCCGGCATTGTTCACCACCACTCCAATATCACGTTCCCCCGGTCTGATTTGTCCTTCGATTCGATGGTACAGTTGCTCATCGTCACTGTTTAGATCAACTTGCACTGTCACCACTTCAATGTCAGCATGTCCATTGCTCAGCTCTTCTTTCACTCTATCGAGTTTCTCCTGCGACCGACCGAGGATGATCAAGTTGAGACCCTTGGCGGCAAACTCGCGACAATACTCCAGACCAACGCCGTCAGTGGCGCCCGTCACCAGGGCCCAGGGTCCGTATTTGCTGCGCAAATTGACCGGAAAGTAGCGCGAAATGACATGAACTCGCAGACCGATGATTACAGCCAGTAGAATGGTGATCAGCCAAATTGCCACCCGGATGATTCCCAGTAAGGTGAAGATATCGAGCAGTAGGCGAAGTTTGTAGTCGATGTCATCGGGAAAGATCTGGAACAGGTACCCCATGGCGGAGTTGGTGGCAATGAGGGTAATGGCGGTGTAACGCCTTCAAAAAGAGCTCCAAATTGTAGTGCTAATCGCCTGTAGCTGATGGTAGACTGACTGCTTTGGCCAGTGACATGCTTTCGGCAACAAACAGATGCTTGTTTAGTGCATACTATGCCATCCCAAACACAAACACACACAACGATGAGCAGCAGAAAAGCAAGCTAGAGAGAGAGCCAAGATAAAGCTAAAGTTGTGAACGAGCTTGAGGCGAATGACTGACAGCCAGTGAAAAGTTGTTGGGAAGCCTCAACTAAGAGGTCCACTCTACTGCCGAGGTGATTTAACGTGCTGCACTCTACTGTTTTTCCTAGTGGATGCAGTGGACGCACTTTTGCATTAGTACTTTTGTTATTACTATTTTAAATGGACTTCCATTGTTAGGGAGACCTTGACTGAAATTCAAATGATTTTTTATTTTTCTTAATTAAAAGTGCTTGCCGATAATGGAAGTGTATTTTTGCAAAAAAATGTAATCAAAAATACTAGTAATGATAGTAATGATTTGAATTAAGTAGGCGATTATTGACTCTACGATTTGGTGATGCACTTATTTGGCCTATTATCTTCCTATTATAATATTAGCTTTGACAACTGTTGCACACAGACAAGTTGGCTATTTGCCTTTTTCATCGTTTTACCTGCTTTTTACCGAGTAGGCGCCTTTCATTGTCTGTCTGGCGCAGTGCCGCAGTGTTTCTCCCTGGCCATGATTTTGCTCCTCTTTTGTCGTCCTGCACTCCTCTTATCTCCCCTGGCTGCCTCTTTCCTACTACTACTACTACTACTTTATTTTTCCGCCACTTCTAATGTCTTCTCTTCCCCTCTAGCTAAGCAAACTAAATATAGCCCCGCGTTCTCGGACGAAGTAGGTTAGCCCGGCACTAGTCATTTCAGGTGAGGGAAGAGAAGGGAAGGCTCTGACTGGCGCCAGCGCGGCATTTCTTTCCCCGTCCGCAACAGCTCCTCGGACGCAGACGAAAACGGGTAAAATGTGAGCGGGCAATTTTCTTCCTCTCTTCTCTTCTCTTCTTTTGGACTGTTTGAGAGACTTACCTGTTCAGGTGTAGCGGGCAGCAGTCTGTGTCCATGCGTTAAGGTTAAGGTGGTTGTGCCAGCGATGAGGTGAGCGTCGATGATGGCGAGCTGAAGAGGCACAGGAGAAGAAGGTACTGTGTGTGACGCCTGTCGTATGTGAGAGAGAGAGAGAGAGAGAGAGAGAGAGAGAGAGAGAGACTTGAAAAGGAAGAGCAGACAGCCGTTAGTTGAGTTGAGTTCAGTTTGACTGGTGACTGTGTGGCGGTGAGATGACAGTCAATAGTCTGCGCCAGGATCGCCAGCTTCGCTGCTCAACAGTGCCCCCCACCAGATGCTCCCATATTGTCGGTGTGTTTGTGTCTGCTCAATGCTGCCAATGTCTTCGGTGATGTCTTCTGCCACAATGTCTACAAGTCCACTTGATCGCCGGACATAGCAGCCAGTTAGCAGCAGCCAGCACATTGTGCCCCTGCTCTCTTACGTCACACTGCCTTCCACATTGGCCGCATTCACATTTCAGTGCACTGGGCCACTGCTTCACTTTCCCACTACCTTTTTTACCCTCCATTCTGAGAACTCAAGATGCACAAACCATCGAGAGATGTGCTTCTTGAGGTCATTCAGAAGTACGAAAAGAACTTGAAAGGTAGGTGTTTGCCCAGTGATGAAACTTCAGCGTGAACATTTGACTGATTATTCATCTCCGAACCTAACCTTCGTCTGATCACCAGGCCTCAAATCGCCCAGTGATCGCTACCTGACATTCGGTCCCGAGCGGTCCAACATCATCCTCGCCAAGCTTGAAGAGCTTTTTGTGAAGTTCCTCTACGAAATTCGCCACCTGACTGGCTTCAATGTGGACTTTGTCATTCAGATGGTGAAGCTGGTGCGCATCATGGTGCCGAACCTGGCCTCACGCGAGGTGCTCCTCATCGGCCTGCACACCATCTCCCTGATCTCACGTACCTTCCTCTCCATCTACGTGGCCAATCTGGACGGCCAGGTGGTGAAGCACATCGTTCGCCGTGATCTGGTCAAGTTCGTCACCCTCATGACCAAGTGGCTGCTCATCGCCGTGCCGGCCACCTTCCTCAACTCACTCATTCGTTTTCTCGAGTCGAAGCTGGCGCTGGCCTTTCGCAGCCGCCTGGTCCAGTACGCCTACAACCAGTACTTCCAGAATGAGACCTACTACTCAGTGTCAAACCTGGACGGCCGCCTGGAGAACGTCGACCACTCGCTCACCGACGACCTGAGCACCTTTGCCGGGCACTGTGCGCACCTCTACTCAAGTGTGACCAAGCCACTTCTGGACGTCAGCATGATTCTCCTGACGCTCTACAAAATGTCACGACAAATGGGATCGTATGGCATGGCAGGGCCAATGATTGGTATGTGTTGACTTTCCTTCTTCTCTAGTTTAGTAAACAACAACAACAGCACAATGGTGATAATGATGTTTATTTTGTTGGTGGGCACGAATTCTCCTTACAGGCACTAGCATCGTCTTCTGCACTCACCTCATCCTGCGCAAGTGCTCTCCTCAGTTTGGCCGGCTCGTCTCCGAAGAGGCTCGCCACAAAGGTTTCCTTCGCTTTGTGCACGCTCGTGTGATCACCAACGCCGAGGAGATTGCTTTCTACCGCGGCGGCGCCATCGAGCAGTCCATTCTCGAACGAGCTTACCTCACACTGGTCCGCCAGATGAACGTCATCTTCAACAAGCGTCTCTGGTACGTCATGCTCGAGCAGATGCTGATGAAGTACCTCTGGTCGGCGACGGGCATGGTCCTCATCGCCGCGCCTATCATGCTCACCGGCAAAAAGAGCGCCGGAATTAAGGCGGCGGAGACGCAGAGCAGAGCACAGCTTCTACTTCAGGAGGCGGCTATGGCGGACAAGTTTGAAACGGAAGGCCTGTCGGCCATCCTCGCCACAGACGACATCTCCGAGCGCACCCAGTACATGATGACTGCCAAGAATATTCTCATATCAGGCTCTGACGCCCTGGAGCGACTGCTCTCCTCTTACAAGGAGCTAATTGAGCTGGTCGGCTACACGAACCGTGTCGCGAAGATGTTTACCGTCTTTGAGCAGGTCAACCACGGACAGTACAAACGAGAGGCGGTGGTGAAGACGGACGCCACCAGTGAGATGAGCCCCTCTAAGTCACTCAACAACTGCACTCACCCACTGCCAGTGATCACCTTCAAGGACGGCGTTCCAGAGGCGAAGGGGGTGATCACCGAGGTGGACAACTACATCCAACTAGACAATGTTCCTGTGATCACGCCCAATTGTGATATTGTCGTGCCCAGTTTAACATTGAAGGTAAGTGTCCACTGCTGTTCAGAGTAATGTGAACTCAAAGTTTTCGTTTTCTGCTCAGATAACCAAAGACATGCACTTGCTCATAACGGGACCGAACGGTTGCGGCAAGTCCTCACTCTTTCGCATCCTATCCGGCCTTTGGCCAGTCTTTGGTGGCTCCTTCTGCCGACCCAAAGTTCGCGATATGTTCTACATTCCCCAGAGGCCGTACATGTCACTGGGCACACTACGAGAGCAGCTCATCTACCCCGACAGTGTGGAGGAGATGCACGCCAAGGGTTTCACAGATGACTTTCTCGAGGCGATTCTCGAGTCGGTCAAGCTGAAGGAGGTGGTCAAGCGGGAAGGCGGTTGGTCCGCCAAGGGCGACTGGAAGGACATTCTCAGCGGCGGAGAGAAGCAGAGATTAGGCATGGCACGCCTCTTTTACCACCGGTAATTACTGATGATGATGAATACCTGTGTCTTGTGTTTACACTGATAATGTTGATTGTCCTTTTGCAGGCCTAAATTTGCCCTCCTCGACGAGTGCACGTCAGCGGTTTCAATAGACATTGAAGGGGAAATGTACGAACAGGCAAAGGCATTGGGGATTTCACTGATTACCATCACCCACCGCTCCTCTCTCTGGAAGTTTCACACTCACCTTCTTCAGTTTGACGGAGAAGGCGGGTGGCGTCTAAGTCGACTTGACGCCAACTCTCCGCTTACTCTCAGAGAGCACAAGGAGTTTGTACAGAAAGAAACTTGATTACGAGCTTTGTGGTAGGAGTGAAGGTTTTATACTTTTTTTTAAATTGTTAATTTTTTTAAAGCAATAAAATCAGTTGCTGTTTTATTGAGAGTTTTTAAGTGAACTTTTATTGTTATAAAAATATCTTTGTGTAAAATACTAAACTAGCCTTCTTTTTACAAAGTTCTTGTAGTTTCAGCAATTTTTATTTAACAAGGTAAACAGTCAAAAAGACTGATGTCTCTTTTTTCAAGAAAAACGTGGGTAAGAAAGAAAATTGCAAACAAGCATTTTGTAACTGAAAGAGGGGAATAAACAAACAAAACACGTAAACCACATACACGCTGAAGTTAGCACTTAAAAAGTAGAAATTCCCAAAAATGTTACTATTGTGAGGTAGATGGTTGACGCAGTTTTCTTCTGTCACAGAAGACCAATTTTCGCCTGAATACAAGCCGACACATCACAATGCTTGAACAGTTTCCCTGCAGGAAAAACACGGTAAATTGCAGATAAAATGAAGCCGGCAAACAGCAGGCAATGCTAAAAGTTGTTGAACAGAATTTGTGCAATGCGTAAAGGCAAACTACAGAGGTGCACTGCCATTCATGCATGTCACAAAACTTGTTAACACAAGGTAAGGTTGTTGCCTCTTTTTACTGTAATCTCCAATGTGATCAAGCCTAAAAGCAGATAGCAATCACTTTCCGAGTGGATGAGCTGGGTTGCCAGCCCTCGGAGGCATAGCTTGACCAGCTGTAGAAGCTTTGCCCCGCAAATCACCTGAGGCTGGCGGGGGTAATATTTTCTGCTGATGATGCTGTGTGGGCACTGTCCCAAATGTGACGCCTTTAATGACGGCCACAATGGCCGGTGGGCTACTTTCTGATGACTCTTCAGATTCAGAGTCAGTAGCCACCGGTGTCGGTGTCGGTGGAGGCACTTGAGCACTCGGCTTGACAGTTTCCGACTGTTGAACTGTCCCAGGCACGATTGGTTGTTTTTGAATGTGAAGTTGGGTCGCCGCTGCTTGTAAAGTCATTTGCTGTTGAGTGAGAGCCATTTCAGACGAGGATTCTTCAGAGCTTGATTCAGGCGAGTTTGCAAGCTGCTGTTGCTGTCCTTTACTGAAAGCAACGGGAATGCCCAGACGTTCCGGAGTTAACACCACGGTAGGCGGTACTGTCTTCTGCCCATTACCACCAAGTTTGCTTTTATGAGGGGGTTTATTTGTTTTTGGCTGCATAGAGTTCATTGAAAAAGGTGGGTGTCTTGGTGATTTTGCCTGTTTCCGCGAACTAGACACCTTCAAGGATCGATGTTTGGGAAGCACATTGTCGCGACCTCGATGAGGCGATGATCTGGGATGCATAGAGCCATGTGATCGACGAGTTCGTTGGCCGAAACCGTCATCTGAGTGATGAGGCAACTCACCAGACTGGCGAGATCGTTTTGTGTTTTCACGCAAATTTCTGTGGGCCGACTCTAGTGAGCGAATGCGGCGAGAACGAGAAGAGTGAACATGCAATGGAGAGCTGTGGTGTGGTGCTCGGGAAAGGGAACTGTAGCGTGATCCATAATGACTTCTACTTAAAACTCTCCTTTTTCGGTACTTATCTAAACGGCTGTGTCGTGGTCGAACGACTGACACAGAGTCTTCCAGTTCATCAACACTGCTCCCTCTCTTGGGAGCTTTTCTTTCATTTCTCATTGAGACATTAGCTTGATTCGGGTTGTAGAAGCACTTGAAGCAAATCCATATGCCAGTGCCTAGACCAATGCAGCATAAAATGATCAAAATCATGAGCAGAATACCGGCAAACACTGCAAAAAGAGAGCATGATTTATGTTAATGACAAGAAGTCGACCCTGCACTTACCAAAACTAGTTGCGCTTTCGTTGAAGTTTATTAACCTAATCATATTGAGGTAGCTTTTTGTTCAAAAATGAAACAAGTTACAATTGAATTTATAAACTAATCAACGTATTTTTAAAAAAGTTCAAAAATGAATAAAAATAGAACTGATTGAATTAGAATAAAGAGCTAAAAAGCTTTCAAGTAGCTTGCAATTCCTGTTAATAGTTTTGAATACTAATGACAAAATTCAAAAGCATGATAAATTTTTTTAGTACTGTAAAAGTGATTGATGACAACTGATCAATACTTCAGCAATGTTTAAAATCACAGTAGTTTAAGACACTTTTACAAATAATGTTGTAACAACGACAATGTACTTTNTTTCCTGTTAATAGTTTTGAATACTAATGACAAAATTCAAAAGCATGATAAATTTTTTTTGTACTGTAAAAGTGATTGATGACAACTGATCAATACTTCAGCAATGTTTAAAATCACAGTAGTTTAAGACACTTTTACAAATAATGTTGTAACAACGACAATGTACTTTGCGTATTGATTTATTAACATTCATTTTGTTTTAAAAATAACAAAATTCATTTTTCTTACAATGGTATCAATTTATTTAAATTTTTTTAGTAAAGTTTTTTCTTGTTAAATTTTGTGCATTTTTCCTGCATTCAACAAATATCATTAAAATATACTCTGTGCTATGCTAATGGAATCCATGCAAATAATGGAATTTAAATTAGATAATATAGTGCATTGTTTTTTCAAACGAGCATCTAAATATTTAAAAATCTTGGAAACATTATAAAAATGAATCTAACATGCAGCTTTTTATGCAGTTTAAAAAGGTCAGTACACAATGAATTTTTTGTTTTAAAATATAAGTAGCTAATGATTTCATAAATGAAAATATATTATTACCATTAAAATACACATTACCTTTAACTTAAAACTTGATTAAAAGTAATAAAAATTTTTTAACAGCAGTTTTCTCATCATTAAAAAATTTTATTTTGAGTATAACAATTATATATTTTTGCAAATTATAAAAATGAGTCAAAGCAAAAATCGGTTAAACAAACTCGAGTCATAGATGAATCGCATTGAAGGCAATGGTAATAATTGCGTGCACGTGTTTCAATAAGGACACTAGAGTTTCGTATAAACCACCAAATAATAAATATATTTTAAAAAGGTAGTACTAATGTTGACTGAATTCAGGCAATGAATCCATTAAGTTGAGGTAGTAAGCCCAGTAGACAATGTTGAGCATAATGAATGAGAGGGGAAAAATCCACCGAGAGATTTCGTCCACGACGTAGGCTCGCATGTGTTTCTTCTGTTGATATGAANAAAACCACCAAATAATAAATATATTTTAAAAAGGTAGTACTAATGTTGACTGAATTCAGGCAATGAGTCCATTAAGTTGAGGTAGTAGGCCCAGTAGACAATGTTGAGCATAATGAATGAGAGGGGAAAAATCCACCGAGAGATTTCGTCCACGACGTAGGCTCGCATGTGTTTCTTCTGTTGATATGAACTGGCAGTGTGGTGCTTCCGTCTGCCACCAGTTGCAAAGCCGGCCGTGTTCGCACCACCAAAGCCATTAGTGGTAGATCCGGAGCCACAGCAGCCAGCTGACTGCAGGGTGATACCTGCTGGTGCCTGCTGATGATGCTGCTGCTGCTGGTGATGCTGTTGATGCTGCTGGTGATGGTGGTGAAAGCAAGTGTCAGAAGCGGATGAGTTGGTGTAGTGCAGCAGTCGTCCGATTGGACGGCTTTGTTGACTGGAGTGCCGAAAGTGAAGAGCAGCCGCCGTTTCGTGGAACTGAGATTGGGGACAGTAGTGAGCGTGGTGCTGAGGTGGCGA